AGAATTATGGGCCCTGTGCGGGCCACACTTTCTGTACCACTGTAGGCCCGGCCCTGGTTATTGATTAATTGATGTTTAGACACCTAAATGCTGCAAATTTGCTCTCCATCTTGAACTCTTGACACACCATATTTTCTGCTTGCAGGGTTTTAGTTTGATTGTCTTTTTTATTGGACGATTCTAAGTCACATATGACCAGTGCTCGACCGTGCGGCACAGTCAGTACATTGCAGTTCTTCCTTCTTTCCTTAATGCTGCACACATGAAGACTTATGTCTTACTGTTTGCTCATTTCCTTTTATGTTAGGCCCTGGCAGCAGGACAAAGCTATGGGATGGCTTCCATGGCAAATAGATAGCAAGGTATCATATATTATCCATCTCATGGTGCATTCTAGAGTATCTTATGAGTTATTTATATGTAAGACAATACGTTATTATCTGCATGAACATCTCCGAGCTGGCACTTCGACTCAAGTGCCTGCTCCTTTCTCTCAGACAACTAGATGCTACCAAGATTAGTTTGTGGTGAATTAGTCATATCCATTTTCTGATCATTATCCACACAATAGCTTTTCTTTTGGGTGCATGATGCAAGGCCCAACTGATGGAGTTAGGTTGTTAGTAAAGCAGTCATATGGAGGCAGTAGCTTGTCATGTATTCAATATTTAACTAAGGTTCCAACTGGTGATGAAAGAGGCTATTTGACATCAACTATGTATATCACATCATATCATCATTCATCTATGTCAAGTCCACAATGCAGTGCTCACTGGAAGGATGATTACAACATCAACTACGACCAATGCAAAGAGATTTATGCATCTGAGCATCAGAATATAAATAGAGAGAATCCGTTACACCTCCAGAATCAACTCCGCAAGGTATTTCGGCTTACCCTGAGCTCCTGAACTATCAACAAGCTTTCATCATAAAGAAAGCTTTACTGACTACATCCCAATCACAGATTGTCCTGAGCACTTTGTAAAAGAACAACAGAGATTTTTCGAAAAGAACAACAGAGATGTGATTTTAATCGTGATGGTTCAGTCTCACCAGGTCCTGGACATGAAACATTAGTCAAAACAAGTAACAAACAAGTTAGCCCAATGTGTAGAGACAACATATAACACCAACACAAGTCGGGCTAAGGTACACAACCAACATGGCAACACAAAAGAACTGATGCGTATATCTGCATGTGCACTGCCCGTAGCAGATTTTTGTTGTTGTTTCATCTGGGCTGCCTGTCTTCTCACAAAACTAAGCCCACTGTCATACATACACGTTAATAAATACTCCCTCCGTCCGGAAATACTCGTTGGAGGAATGGATGTATCTAGATGTATTTTAGTTCTAGATACATTCATTTTTATGCATTTTTTCGATAAGTATTTCCGGACGGAGGGAGTACGATAACTAGATTAGTGCGCACCGCAAGAGGCGCCACCAGTGGCTCCCGAGCACTAGTATACCATAGCATGTAATGGAACCTTGTGTGTTGTGATGACCATCACTCGGCCAATATATTGTCCACTACCGTGGTAGCTAAAATGAGACCATATGGAGTGTGGTGGGCCGCACTTCTTATATAAGTACGTAGTACTCCCTCCGTTCCTAAATATAAGTCTTTGTAGAGATTCAACTATGAACCACATACATATGTATATAGATGCATTTTAGAGTGTAGATTCACTCATTTTGCTTCATATGTGGTCCATAGTGGAATATCTCCAAAGACTTATATTTAGGAACGGAGGGAGTACTAGTTAAGACTAGTACGTAGTTAAGAATAGAGGGGTGGCATAAAAAGTTTTCATGCATCGCTGCACACGATCGAGCAACCTGAAAATCAAAAGTGACAAAAGGAAGAAATCTGTCGACAGATATATAGCAAATCCATAAAATAAATTTCCCATATAAAGTATATGCCTAGATCCATTACGCACATGATCTTTTTCTTGCGTGGAACATACTCCATAACCATGAATCACACGTCAATTAATAACCTTGATCTTACTATTTCATACGCAAATTTCCATTTAATGTTTGGAAACGTACAATCTAACAAAATACTAGTAGGAAATAAATCCCACAAAGGACAACTTCCTAACCCGCGCATTTGTATTTTGCTACCAAATTTCGGAAACTTGTGAGATATAAGGACAGAAATAATCTAAAACACACTATTTCCGCGCTCTGGGCTATTAATGGTAAGATACCAAATCATTCCAATTTTATTGCTTGATGTTTTCTGCACGGGGCTGTATTCTCTCGATCAGTCTAGCTATATATATGTATGTACTTATGTATGAGTCAGGTATTGATACCTAGCAATTCCGGCCTGTACTAGAAGAAATATTTCTCATCCACAACCATCATTAACGTAGGATGGACAAGTACGCCATTCACATCCTTGCAGTAGCTCTTCTGTTGCATCTCGTATGCTATGCTTCTGTTGTGCAATGTAAGAGCGCCGTTATTTCTCTGGCCTTTCTTTTATTTCCTGTTACACTTTTCGCTTGTTTGTTTACCATCCAAAATTATTTGCATAACAATGTTTCGTTTGTTATTCCATAGGCCGAACCATCACCGACATAGACAATGAGAAGGTCAAACTACCATATGGGTTCTGCGGCATAGAAAAGTGGTGCACCGGTGCTTGCTTCTGTTGCTTCACAACTCCGTATTGCTACAGTTCAAAGGATGAGTGCCTGCAAAATTGTAAAAATTCCAGGCCTTCAGAAAGTATACTAGCGGCAAAGAAAACCACTCCTTTACCTGATTCTTCAACAGCATAGTCAAATTGTTTTTCATATTAATCTGTCCCATCATGTAATGCCTTATGCGAGCAAAAATTGGAATAAGAGTATTACCCTAAGCTAGTTGTTTCAGTTCTATTTGTCATATTGCATTTACACTATTACTCGAGTAGTGCAAATATAAGTGATTGCCGTCCTCGCAAGAGGTGATTACGCGCAATAAAACTATGTCACTGTTCCTACCCATACGAATAGGTCACCGTGTACCCCGGGGTCG